TATACCTCATTGTTTATTAAAAAAAAATTATACGTTATACATTTTGTGCGTTCTACATGTTCTAGCAATATTTCTTTATTTACTTTACCAGAAACGCTCAAACTTAAACATTTGAAAGCCATGGATAAACAAATACACTATTTTCTAAACAATTTTCTTGTAAATGTTTTATCACAAGTACTTCATAGTAGGCTCTATGAACATATAGGTATTGGCCTGACAACGTTTTTTCGAACATATTACAAAATGGAGAAATCGTTAAAATTTTACATTGAGTTCAATGAATTACTTTGTCAAATTAAAGAAATATAAGTGATCAGAAAGCCAATTCTGAACCTGATTTGATAAGGTTTCTTTGAAAAGAATTTTCTTCAATTTCCCTTTGTTAACTTTCTACTTTAAAAAAGCATTATTTCAGCGGCATCGTATCATGGAGTATATAATTCATACGTTAAGTTAGGGCTTACGTTTCTTTTTCATGAATGCCAGTGAGTATTTTATTTGTCGTATGCAAAATATCAGCCTCATTTCCCCGTTGATGGCATTTTCGATAAACTGGATTTTTATTTGTCAAGAGCAATACGACTGGTATCACTGCTTACCTATAGCTATCCGGAGCACCTGAGTTTTAGTAGAGTTTGTGTTGTTTCATAATGTGTTGCTTGTAATATCTTATTTAAGAACGTCTTTTCATATTCTTTCGATTCTTTGACCCGCAAAAACTGTTCGCTTCCCATTATGACATGTTTCAGGGATGGACATTGCATCTGTGATGATTTGAGAATAGGTAATGTCTTTGAGTTTTACGCATTTTGTCTACTAACCAACTATGGTATGAAGCCTCAATAATAAGTACTGTTACTTAACGGATGTTAAAATCGATAACATGACGTGTGCCGCTGGTGGAATGCTAACCCTTCCGTACCACTTTTAGTTCCCTACGGTTTTTATTCTACTCAGGTTGCTCAAACTTCAGCTGTTTGTGTGTTTTCTATTTTTTCCGCTGTGTTTTCATTCTTTGATTGTTCCCTTGGTATCTTACATGTACTTTTTGAACATTTGTTATACAGTGTGTGTAATTAGCCATTGGTTTTCAAATTGGTCTAAGGTAGATGTATATTCGTCATGTCTCCCATTTCTTGGGTTGGTTTAAGGCTTTAAGCCCTGACAACAATAGTATGGGACATGTTTTCTGATCGGTGCAACCATTCGTTCGTCCATCCCATGTAAGGTAGCAAGAACGTGAGGTCACATCAACTCCAAACGTTTTAAACTGATTTCTTTGCTAGATGTCAATAATTGAAGAACATAAATGACACAGATTCCAACGGAAAGATTATTTTAACAAAACAGTCATGTAATCCCCGAAGCATCTCGCAATTGTATTTTTTTTCTTTTTTTCTTCGGCAGCATGTGATTTGTTTCCATAGAAATCTTCTTCTGTGAAAACCCATTTCCTTTTTTTCTTAATATATTTGTTTTTGTCTTCCGCAAGTTTTGTTTTTTGGTGCTGTTTTGTTGATTTGTAAGATGTGATATATTTGATGCGACTGTCATACAAGTGAGAGGTTAAGCTAGCTATACATGCTACAAACTAGGTTTAATCCACCATTGTCTACATAAGGAAATGCCTGTACCACGTCAGGAATATGACAGTTGTTTTCCATACGTATGATGTGTTTGAGCTTTTGATTTTGCCATTTGATAAGGGACTTTCCGTTTTGAAATTTCTTTGGAGTTTGGTATTTTTGATATTTTACTTTTTAGATGTTTGGTATATATTATCGAAGTGCTAACTTCGCTTTTGAAACTGACGCTTTACCGAATACTTTGCCTTAAAAGAATTGTCTCCCTTAAACTGCTTTCCTTAAACGCACTTCTCTTTGTCACGCGCAAAAGATACTAGAAATCAGTTTCCCATATCTATTGATCGTTACAACTTCAGGATGTCCAGAATAATTTTACCAAAGCAATTCGGAAATACCATATCAGGGTTATTAACCTTTATGTGTTTGATATAAGTGATATGTATTTCTAACTTGTACACCATAAGTGATAGAGACCTAGGGTCTTTTGATTTGAGATCTTCGGTCCAAAAAAAAATTAAAATGAGGTCAAGGTCAAGGTTTTGTTACAAGTTCTGACTTTTGCTTGTTATTGCTACCCTCTTAATTTATATCGAAAATGACTTTCTATGAGTTGCGACATACCTGCACAGGAATTGTTTGTTCAAAGGGATAAGGTGACATTAAACGAGGCTTTCCGTTTTGAATTTTCCGTGGAGTTCGGTATTTTTTCTATTTTACTTTTTAGATATTTGGTATATAATATCGAAGTGCTAATACGCTTTTGAAACTGACGCTTTACCGAACACTTTTCCTTAAAATAAATTGTCTACCCAAAACTGTTTTCCTTAAACAACTTATGTTATTTGTTTTCATATGTGTTTACTTTTTGGTCTTACATGATCTTGCCTTATATCACAGTTATTTTATTTTTATTTTTATTTTCTATATATATGTAAAAGTTAAGATAAAAAAATCAGCTACTTCATTTATACGATCTTAAGTTTAAAACAATTATATGCACAGGTTATTTTTGTTTATACACAGTTTTGAGTTAGAAGAAAAACCAACATGGTTAGAAAATACAAATAATAACACCATTACAAACATAATTCCATTTTAATATTCTTGTCATGGTTAAAAAATACATAAAAATAACACCATTACAAACTCAATCCCAATTAATATTCTTGTACGTGTCTATAGATTAAACAAATCTATTATATTTTTAGAAATTTACCAGTGATAATATAAACGTCACAAATAATACTTTTTGTGACGTTGATCTATTCATGTGACACACAGTTTATATTTCGTTTGTGGTGTCCTGGTGTGCGGTCGTAAACTAATGGGAGGTGTTCGTTGTTATTATGTGGTTTACATGTTGTAATGTACTATTATATTATTTATATTATGTATTTCTCTGTGCTGAGAGTTCTTGCGTTTGTTTGTACTGTATTCCTATCACGTAGTGTTGTCATTTAGCTGTATTTTCAACATTGCCATATATGAGCGGGAGGTTTGGCTAGCCATAAATCCAGGTTCAACCCACCATTTTTTCTTAAAATGTCCTTTACCAAGTCAGGAATATGACAGTTGTGATCACAAAGTCCGTTGTATGTTGGCGTTTGTTTTTGTTGTAGTTCAGTGTTTATGTTGTTCCGTTGTTTTCCACTTATAGTTGATGTGTTTCCCTCGGTTTTAGTTTGTTACCCGGATTTGTTTTTGCATAATCGAATGATGACTATCGAACAGCGGTATACTAGAGTTGCCTTTATTTAACGAATGTTCAAAACAAAGTGTTTAGTATATATTTCATTAACAATACATAGACCTAAAGTCTGCTGACCAGCAGAGTGTCGGCATCATATGAGAAAAAAGTAAAATCACAAAAATACTGAACTTCGAGAAAAATTCAAAAAGGAAAGTCCCTAATCAAATGGCAAAATCAAAAGCTCAAACACATCAAACGAATGGATAACAAGTGTAATATTCCTGACTTGTTCACCTCATCTGGTCGACTTTCCTATTTTCATACGAGTCAGAGTTCCATTAGACACTTTTAAGAAACAAGATCAAAGCTTGATCATTCAATTTCACAAAGAGGTATATTTATGATTTTATTTCCATAAACAATCCAAACTTTTCGGATTGGGTCCCATTAATTCATCCTTCTGAACAATAGATTGAAAAAACAACAAAAACAGCTACTCCGCCTCATTTCGTGACATATTCCTCGAATTTTACTACAACGGTCATCTCAGTACCAGAATCTATGACAAATTAGACGATTTCTACTTTAACATTATAAATTTCCTCATCTTAGCAGCAATATACAAACTTCAAACTCGTATTGAGTATATATTTATCAACTCATTTGATATTCAAGGGCTTGCAGCTGCTACTAAGACTTGGTAAATGCATCGGTGTCTGAGCAAAAATTATCAGTCCCGGGTTTTGACAAAGAACGTCTCACCCTTTTTCTCAAAAGAATCTAGCAACCATATACTTTTGGAATCAGTATGAAGTAACTTATTATATCAAACCGGACGTTGTAATTTCCATCCGGAAATAGCAAATTGGTTCCTTCTTTCAAGCAAAAGATAAAGAAACCATATATTTTGTAAATTTAGCTATCAGTTGACAGCGGGAATTGTTTTGAGTAAACTAAAAGTCGCTAATTATCTACCTTAATACATTAAAGAAGGATAAAAGCTAGGTGTTTTTGAATTTTGTGAAATATAAGCTTCTCAATGCTCTTCAACTTCGTAATTTATTTGCACTTTTTAACGATTTTGATTCGAACGTCACTGGTGAGTCTTGTGTATACGAAACAAGCGTCTGAAAAAATGTCAGTGCCCATGTCACATAATAATACTCATTTTGTGAAATGGATTATTCTGATTACATTATATGTTATAAATGACAGGTGTCAGCTTGATATATAAGAAAGTGATGTTTGAACTATGTTTAAGAAGTACAATTGTATTTCATTTTCCCGCTGTTCACTTGTTCATACATTTAAACATATGTGTTTCATATCAGAAAACAGATAATGTTTGGGTATGGGTCAGGGTAGATCAAAACTATGAGTTATGTCTTGTGTTCCAGTGTATACTGTATATCTTGTTTAACACTATCCATTCCATCAAACAACATATTGGAATCAAAGTTGATTGTAAGGTTTATTGGAAGACCATCAACATAATTATTCTCTGTTTTTGTGTGTTGTTATGAATATCTATCCCTTTCAGTGTCACATTTTCTACGGAAATACACGTTAGTCGGCTATGACTTTGAAATAACAGGTTGCGAAGCTAATAAATAGAAGATAATAGCTCATGATAAAAACAATACTAGTATATAAAATAAAAACAACAGAAGAATTTGGGTATAGATATATAATAAATAAATAAATAAACGGACATGTACAATGTAATACAATTGCTGACAATTACGGCTATCCGAGAAGGTTTCCAATATCTGCTGCCCTAAAATAGATGAATAAATATTTAGAAAAAATCAAATGTATATCAATAATGTTCTTTCAAATGTGGGGAATATTTTAGTGACAGAAGGTGCAGGTGACAAATGAACCAAGTCGGAGGCTTGTAATTCAGTGGTTGCCTTTCGTTGTTTAAATATTGTATGTATTTTCGTTTATGAGGCCGTTTAAATTGTTTTACATATGTCATTTGAGGGGCTTTTATACCCTTGTTAAACTGTATGAGATTTGCGCATTTTTGACGGCTCTACAGTGACAAATAGTAGCTAATTGATTTCGTCTCTTGTAGAGAGTTGTCTCATCGTCAATCATACTACTTCTGCTTATTTCAAAATTAATTGTAATGTTGAAGTCATCTTTTTTTCAAAAGTTTACGGAAGCAAAACACTTATGGATGGACCGTTATGTCATAACAGCATACTCCAAATATCCGACGAACGATCCTGGTTGGGATCATGTACATATTGTTTTTGTTTTGTGTCAATCACTTTGCATAGTAAAGGAAGAAGAACCATTCTTCAAACAACTTATTATCAATAGCCATTTCACAGATTTATTTTGTTGGAACTGTTCATAAACCATCTGTCCAAGAAAATTTGAAGCCATTAACAGCATCAAGTCGCATATCACATTGTAACGTGTATTGCCTTATAATCTCTTCCTCTGCAATAGTACTTACACCATTTCACAAATGTAGGTGGTTGGAACTGTGCAAGGACCATCTGTCCAAGAATAATTGAAGCCTATAACTGGATCAACTCGCATAGCTACACAATTTTCGTTTCCCCCTCTGTTGTTTGGTTGGGTAGGTCCCCAGTTAAAGTATGTTGCCTGCTTGCCGTTGGCTACCCAGTGAAATGTCCCTTCAGTTACAAGGTCATTTAATCCTATGTACATTCCAATGGAATCTGATAAAATAAACAAAATGGTTGTGAATCACTAACCAACCTCATATTGCTGCTCTTATACAAAACTTGCAAATTCTATTCATCAAATACTCCTTTTCAAAATTGTATTGTTAAGTAATTTTTTGTATTTTTCTATAAGTTCCTACTATTTGAATAAGTGAGCGTGAAAGAATTGACCTCATGATGTCCTTGTCTGTTTTGTAAGCCATTGCTTTTGTATGAGCGTTTTTCTATTTCTCATTCGTAATTTGTCTTCAGTTTGACTTAATAATTTCTGTTTTGAATAAAATATGAGATGTAGAGAAAACGATTTTATCAAAAAACACGTATAACACCCATTTTTAATGGCTTCACTGCAGTTTGCCAATCGCAGTTGACTAATTGTCTTGTACGGTGATTCATAGAACAACTTCATTACATCTAGGTTAAAAAATTGGGCTGAATCTAACAAACAAATGCAAACAATGAAGTTGTCAACAAATTTAAACCTTTGCAAAAGTAAATGTTTAAAACAAAGACTCAGTCAATAATTCCTAAGTATGAGAAGGATCCTCAATGATTAGGGAGTAAGCAAAAACCATGTTCTTAATCCTACAAAATGCAGAAAAACTCCTATGTATACAAAGATTTAATATTCAAATACTGTACAAGTATAAAAACCATAACCAAACAAAACTATAGTCGTTATGACAGCCAACCTTTTTAGTACCTTAAACAAAAATATTTGTTTTCAGGTTAAGGTAGATAGAGGAGAAAAGTTGTGCTTCACATTTATGTATAATCTAACGTCTACTCATTCTTACTTATTTTGATCATTAAATCTGTAAGAAACTGTTGTGTTTTCGCATCATCAACGGTAGCTAATGATGCCGATCTTCCATATTGACGTCCAATCACTTCACATAGTTTCTGAGAAAAGATATAACAATATAACTCTAAAATTACAAAACAAATATTTATTGATCATGTTGATATTATACGATTAATTTGAATGACACAAATGAACATAATATTTTCTGTTATATCCCTCCCTCGAAAACCCGCATATACGTTTAACCATGCTTACACGTTTGAAATAAACGGCAATTCCTACATTACCAAGTGCTTTGGTATAACCATGATTTAACATGTTAAATTGTTTAGATGTATTTCCGGCTTCTTATGTTATGTCATTGTGTTATTCTAAGGTTGCAATCCATTAAGCTAATTATTTATGAATTCAAAATTATTAATTTCATATACAAGTTCATGTGATGTCTAATGTGAGTTAGCAGAAGTTTGCCGATTTTCAAATCTCATAATCTATTAGGAAAATGAAAATCAAGGTTAAAAAAAAACAAAAAACAAAACCTGAGGGATCTACATGAACAGAAGCGAGACTGGATGTGTTTAAAGGGTTAGCGACTACTGCTATGCATTTATCATCCGTCATTACAACCCACACTCTTTCAAAATCGAGAATAGGACACACTCAATACAGATTGCAATACAAAAAGAGTTATTCTATATCAAAATCAAACAATCGAAATCATAATTTGAAGACAAATTTATAAAAATATATTTTCGGAACCTTCACTCTTCTATTTTCATTTTAACTGACCAGTGAATCGGCAAATGTCTCGTTGTCACGGCTTAGAAAGAAACATTTGTCTTCATAATGACTCCAATTATTTGGACATGCGCAAAATACTGAAACAAAAATAGTTATGCATTTGCATGTATCCTTTCATACAAAATATGAATGTTGAAAAGTGTCTTTTTTTATATAAACAAATGATATAAAAAGAGTTATCACATTCAAGGAAGTCAATCAAAATCAAATGTCAAAAAGGAATAATATAAATTACATTTTGAGTGATACAATTTATTTCGACACTCGGTTTATTTGCATCACGAAGAAACACCGTTTCATAGAGATTCCATTATTTGATAATCAGAGTAATGGTTTTCTTTGTCTCAATAAACCGTCACATCCATAACTGCACGTGCTTTCTATGACAAAGTTACTTAATAACAATAATATGAATATTTAAAAAAAAAAAATAGGAAAACCTTGAGTTCACTCGTAATCTCATGTGTTGACTCTTACTTTGTAATAACGTCGACCGTGTGCACTTACATATGAAGCGTTTAACTACAAATCTGCTTCGGTCAATGCTTTTACACACTAGACAAAAATTGATATATGATAGATTTTGTTTCAAATATTTATAAAAAATAAACTCATCAAAGATACGAGGCTTATAACGTTGTACGCCAGATGCACGAACAATATGGGAAAAGTTGTAAGAATTATATTTCGCTATAAGAAGTCGGTTTGGTTCAATTTTGTCAAAATAAGGTAAACACCATTTCGTTTGTATCAGGTTATATGACTATCGACAGTCTTTGGGGGTCATCTCAATAGATAATTTGATGACATCTGGTCTCTACGCACGAAATGCTGCTATACATAACGAGTGTATGCATTGTTAAATATTTCTTTTGCACTTTTTGTAATTTGGAGACAGGTTTTACTATGATTTAAATCAAATATAATAATTTGTAATTGGGTAAAATTGGTGTGCATGAATTTGACAGCTACCCTAAATATAACCTTAAACCTTACCCTAACCCTAATGCCCCTTCAGTGAAATTACATAAATAAGCATTTAATTATGAATTACAGATTTAATCTTGAAGAATCAGTACATTAATGATAATTAAAAAGTGACTTACCAGCCGTGGCCACAAATGCCAGAACACAAAGTTTCATCCAAACAGAAGACATTTTGATATATGAAGCAGCAGTTTTAAGATAGCATGTTGCATTTCTGAAGGCGATATTTATATTCGTAAATTATCTCTATTTTGATAAGTTCGTGATGTCAAAGAAACTGCAGACAGATTGGAATGTAGGTGTAAAATTCGGACCAGAAACAAACTCAAGGTCTTCTTAAATATTGATTAATGTAGAACTGTTGTAAGACTGGTATCTATAAAGACCATTTTAATAAAAAGTTCAAATTTTAGGACAAGATTATTTGGAATATAATTTGGAACATTTATCAGGATAAGGATACAAGCCAAAGTTCGAGAATTCATATGTGAATATTTGGAATATAAATAAGAATATTTATCCGTACACGACGCATGTGAGGAGAAATATTAGAATGTAAATCGGAACATCTATTATGAGCACTTCTAATGAATCTTCTGTAGACGAAACGCGCGTCTTGCGTACAAATTTATAAGCCTGATATTATTTGACACCTATGTATGTGCGCATGATACACATTTCCAGAATAATCATTAACATGTGCGCAATGAAGGCAAAGCTTTGAAAGGAAAATATGTTGATCGTTTTGGAGTTGAACACGGGGTTTAATATGATATTTGGTAAGATAACTTGTGTCAGTGGGAATTGCCTCTCATACTAGAAATCTATCCGATAAAACTTTAACATAACATATGAAGATAGGTTTTATAATATGTTTTTAAAAACTAAAAAGAAAAAATGGTGTCACCGAACTTGTTTTCCTGCTGCAAGTATAAAAGAAAATTTCATTAACATTTCTTTATAAAAATTTTCCTGTAAGAGTTATCTTAACTTATATGGCTAGGCAGAAAATTGAATCGATCAAAACAATTGGTATTTGTACAAACAGTCTAAATAATACAATAAATCACTTATCTTTCCTAAAAAAAACAGTCTTACACATAAATATGCATTCTGTCTAAAACAATTGGCAGATTGAAGCAAAGAACTAGCCAATTTTGTACTGCTATTTTTCAATTAAAGATACCAATATTTAGTGAATCAACCTAATATCTTACTTTCACAACGTAGGACGGTAGTAAATGTTTATCCTTCCAGAACACATATGTGTAACTCCGGTTTTTTGTAGGGTTCTTATTGCTTTATCTTCAGTTATCTTTGTAGTGTTTTGTAGGCTGTTGCTTATCTCCTCGTCGTTTTTCCTTTTTGTTTTGAAATCCTATTTGTTTTGTTGAGTTAGCCTTCCTTGGTCTCTTACACATACCGTTCACGATTATTTAATATGTATGACATTTAGAAAGAACTACAACAGGATGAATGTGCATGAAATCCTGTTGAATACCTTTTTTCAGCGTCATTATTGCTGTTATCAATAATATCAGTTGCTGCAAGGTTTACAACGATGACCTTAGGTTTGACAAATTACGTTAATTAGGATGGCTCCATTTGCTGACTTCCATTCTGTATTTAACTACTTATATACAGAAAATTTTGTGTATTTGTATCTAAATAGCACTTGATTTTTTCAGGCTCCATGAACCTTTTTCTCATTGCGTTAGAAAAAACAATTGTGGTTCAAAAACCAATTCAACAACTAAATTTGTTAGCGTTTCTTCATATTTATTGATTTCGATTTTCCCATTGTGAACTTTGACCTTTAATCAAATCAAAATTACATTTCAGCGGAATTTGAATATGATTTATACAGCTGATACGACATTCCAGGGTTTTGTTTATTTTTCACCGGTGATGCCAATGGCATCACAAATAAACTTAGCAATTTCTTTGTACTTTCCATGAGTAACATGAAGCTGATTCAAACACTGTTTACCTTCCGAGGAACCTGTGTTTACCCTAAGTGTTGTGTTAGGTTAAGTGGTGATTGTTGTTCCTTTTGTTTCAGAGCGTCTGTGTTGTTTTGATCAATCCTTGTCAGTGCTTTCTGTTGACAAAACTGTTCGTTTCATAATTTTCTCGAACAGTTTATCGGAAAGTATCAAGACCTTATAGATAGATATTCATTGTCTCCTTCACAAAATAAAACAAGATGGTCTTTGGATTGTAGGTGTTGAAACTGTGCATCTTTTTATGTACTTTACATTTTCCCTTTATTTTCATTTTTGTGCTATTATGTTCCTTTTGGTCCTTTTTTGACCGTCGAGCTATCGGGTTTTTAGCTTTTGACATTCACGGTGCAGGTGTGTCCTGAGGTGCGATTCGCACCCATGAGGCTTCTACAGTGTTGTTTTAATTTTGTATACACTTGTATTAATAGTTTACTTAATTCGTACGGGCACATACAGAATGTGTCGGGGTTAAACTTGTTTGAAGGCGTCAACCTTACCCCTAACCTAGAACAGTGGTGTAACAGTACAACTGAAGAACAAACTATAAAAATCATAACTCATCAGATCGATAAAAAGTAGAAACACATGTAACAAAAGCACAGACCGGACGTAGCAGGTTATTTATATATCCCTAACAACAAAGTATAGATCTGAGAGTACTCACAGTTACTGACAGCTTGTTCAAAGCCAATAACAACTTATAAAAAATGCATGCATCTAAGACTGAAATATCAATCAGTACACATCCAACATCCGATGAATTTAGTGTAAAGACGTCATAAATTAAATAGTCAGAGAAAAACATGACATTGTGCAATGCCAAGATACAGGTACTGACAGATTGTAGAGCCATGAATGTGTATATGTATATAAAAATAATATTAAGATTGATTTTGATTTACTGATAACAAAATCAATATTAATACCAATAACAAAAATTTCAAAGATCTAAGTATATTATTGAATTGGTGACCTTTCAGAAGAAGTTTATTTAAAGAATCGATAAGTTTACCCGGATCGTATATAAATTTCCGCGCCGGGAACACAACATTTCAGTAAAAATTAGGATGTGCAATCCCGTTTGAAATAAGTTTTCTACAGGTACAACTAAACTTTCAAACCAAATCTTTGTATCTATGGAAGAATTAAGTAAAGGTTTTCAGTAATTTGTGGTAAGGAAATCCCTGACTTAATAATTTACCAGTAATACATAGATTATGTTCATTGAAATTTAAAACGTCACAACAGACACGGCATAGGGAACGAGTTGTGATATATAAACACCATAAGATGGTGCCAAAGGAACATCGTCGTCAAAAAAAGGAAAATTAACAATAGGGAACAAAAAATCGTCACTTTTGTCGTAAATTCGTGTATAGAGTTTCCAGTATAAAACTGAAATATCTAAATCTAGGAAAGGACAGTTATTTCCGTTTGTATTTGATGTAATTATAGTAAGTTCCTTTGGGTAAATTTCGGCAGTATATTTAGAAAATTCTTGATTATTTAACGAA